GTGTTAAATCCCCCACTCCTAAACCTTTCATCAGATATGTCACCTACTGTATCTCAATCTTGAGGTAAAGGGGAGATTTCCTGTTTAATAGCAGGAAAGACAAGGTGCTCCATGCTCAAATAATATTGCTATATCCTATAACCGTGTTAGTAGCTGAGTAACAAGCAATAAGCATAACAGATGGAAATATGAGGTTGCCAAATTTCTCATCTTCACGTGGTGATCCTGTAGGACACTTGGGATTTCCTGCGAGCATGTGGTGTCATTGTAGGGCGAATCCATATTACTTCCCGGTGGAAAGTCTGTAAATGAATTCTCCTTATCATGGACAAGAATATGACACAGGAACGAGATGAATCAGCGCAGCACTACCGAATTCACGCTGCCACAGGTCCAGAGGGATAGCAAAACCATTCAGGCTACTCAGCGTAAATCAGCCTCTACGCCCTATGATTTGGATAGTGCGGGAGATTTCATTAGTGTGTGTCTTTCACTGCAGAACTGTATTCTCGAACGGTTTTATATATGCAGAGGGACATTACTGACAAAAACAAGGCAGACTATGATGACCATGGCTGGCTTATTAGTAATCGTCAGCCAGTCATACCCAGACCTTAGTGATGTCCCACCCAAGCCTCGAATTCACGATCTTTTTGATCAGAGTCAAACGTCCTGACCACTAAGCCACGAGCTCGCTGTCTAACAGCTGCATTCGAACACTAGATCGCCGCGCAGAAACCCACTCCAGCGAACCAGCCGACCTAAAGGCCGAGGTCAAGTATCTGCGGAAACTGTAAGCAATGAGTGGGTATTTCGGCAGTTTCGTCAAAAAATGCAGGCGCGGAGTAAAAAGCAGTAAACAAACGGGACAGCCAGAACCAACCTTGATAGGTCCGTCAGGGTCTGCTCTCATTGGTCCATTCTTCTTGCCTAGGTGATGTTTAAAAGCCTCGTATGGCGCCGGTAGATCTATTCTTCTAATGATCGAGTTGGCATCCGATTGCCAGGCCTCGATCACCTCCCTCGCCATTTTGCTTTCTGCCCGGCCGATG